GTTATTGAGTTATTATTGCAAAATTTATGGCTACGATTCATATAAATTGGATTAACAGTGAAGAGACTAGAGAGTTACCCACTTTCCAATGCAGAACAGAATTAAACCTGATAACAGCAGAAAACATTTCATGTATATAATCAGCCTTTCGAAAAGATGCTTACGTGGTAATATACGAATTCTAGTGATCCCAAATTTCCTTCGTTTATTGCTATAAACTGTTTGAAGCTAGCTTCGCGGTATAAACGGCGTCGCAATTTAGCTCACAATGTGATTATTGCAGGGTCCATGCCCTTGCGTTTCTCTTTGTATAATCATTAGGATTAAGTTTCTTTCATTAGTCTTTGCCATTCCGACGTTTGCGAGCTTGTGCCCAATTTAATGTATATCATGCATTGGAAAGAGGATGAACTCCTGCACCATATAGTAGAGTTTCGAAACAATTAGGGAGGCCGATTTTGTACAAACGCTTGCTGAATATAGATGTTGGCACATAGTGTAATTCTATTGTCTAACATTTAATATATAAACAAATGAAATGAGTGTAATTCTACAAACAAATTAAAGCAATAAACACCTTATTAATCCTTGCCGTTTTATTTTATTTATTTGCTAGCTTTGTCATTAATGATTGGTGATCCCTACAGGGCTTATTGCCACATTCACAGCGTCCTTAAACTAAACATTCACATCAATTACAACACATTTTATCTACAATGCTCGACAAAGGACGACACGATCGAGTGACATTTAACACAGCCAGTTTAGCAGCTTTAAACGATTGTGCTACATTAATGTCATATATAATGACGTTCGTGAGCTTGTACCCCAATTTGCTGTACGTCATTAGAAAGAGCATGAAGCAGTGGCGTGCTGGGTACTATTTTTCTGGGGTGGCCAGTCGGCTGGCAACTAATATGCGCCCTTATAATATTACCCTTGATGAACGAGGGCCGAAGGCACGAGCCGAGCGCCGCAGGTGCGAGGTTTGTCTAGGGGGGTCCAGGGGCATGCCCCCCGGGAAAATTTTTGAATTTAGAGTCTCTGAAATGCCATTTCCTGGACTTTGGGGGAAGATTTGACAGAAATCTGATGGTCATGAAACGGCATTACAACGTGTCGAAATTTGAAAATTGGTTAGAATTTAGTAGTAGCACTGATCTGAATTCATTTACAACTTACAGCTCTTTTATACAATAACACACGGACCCCACGCATATGCATGATTCCCGTGATCGCTTCGAAGCCTGATCAATATTCCGGTAATGAGACATTGCGTGTGATCACTGATCATGTTTCTATATGAACGAGTGATTTCGTGTGAGTGGTGAGGTAGCAAATACGGTTAGACAAAATAGTCTGCAATTTAATATACTCAGTCACTTTGTAGCCTATATGCGCTTAGTCTGTTTATAAGTCTATAAACACATCTTTCCTTGGCGGAATTAGTAACTATATTTCTTCGAATGCGTTTCTTCCCACCTACTTTCAAAATCCGGCGCGGGATCGGCGCCTCCTTTTCATTTTTGCGCCCCTCAAAAATTGCCAGCTGGGGGGCCGTGGCCCCCCGGCCCCCCTGCCAGCACGCCACTGGCATGAAATGCTGCCCAATATAGTTGAGTTTCAGAACAATTATAGGAATTCAGATCTTGCGGAATATAGATGTTTGCGCAATGTAATTCTATAAACAAAAGCAATTACCACCTTATTAATCCTTGCCGTTTTGACATTGGTGAGCTTGTGCCCCGATTTGCGGCACATCATTGGAAAGAGCATGAAATACTGCATAATATAGCCAAGTTTGGGAAGACAAATTTTGCGCAAACGCTTGCTGAATAGTGAGCATGGCATATAATAATTTATACAGAAATGTAATTAGCACTTATTAATCCTTGCTATTTCGACGTTTGTTAGCTTGTGCCCTAATTTACTGTATATCAATGGAAAAAGCATGAAATACTACACAATATAGTCGAGTTCTGGAACAATTGGGGAAGACATGCAGATTTTGGGGCAAGCGCGTGCGGAATATAGATGTTTGCGCAATGTAATTTTATGAACAAAAGTAATTACCACCTTATTAATCCTTGCCGTTTTGACATTGGTGTGCTTGTGCCGCAATCAGTACATCATTGAAAAGAGCATGAAATACTGCATAATATAGGCGAATTTTGGTAACCGTTTTATGTGCCGTTGCCGTGGTTTTGAAAGTAGTCTTACGCCCGTATTCTAAAAGCTCACTCACACTCAATGAGTGGAAGTTCAGTCTGAGCTTCTCTCGAGTGTCATTGCTGTTTTTGAATAGCTGGAGGGTTAGTGTCGTACCGTTACTTTGTGACTATACTCACATTCCCGGCGGCTATTGAAAAACAGCGCTGACACTCAAGAGAAGCTCAGATTGAACCTCCACTCATGCATTGAGTATGAGTGTGAGTGAGCTTTTAGAATACGGGTGTAAGTGCAGGTTTCTGTAATTATGTCAGTAGATTACTAGATACGATTTTATATATAAAGAGTTCATTATTATAATTTTTGTATGATGTTAATCTGATAATCTTAGCGTTATTTGTAAATTTGACATTGTATGAGGAGTGGAATTCTATGGAACTTTTTTAGGTGGGAGAATACCTCGCACCTGCGAACAAGCTGGGTATGGGGGACCGATTTTTCACAATGTCCACGAATAATAAACGATGCATGTAATGGTTTAAGGATATTTTAAGGAAATTTAATATATCTATTTCATAAATGATTATATAATTGTAAAACACCAGTCACCAAAACTGAATCGAAAATGCATGGCTATATTTAGGAGCAATCCCAGTAAAACGATCTATTCTGTAACGAGTCCTCCGGTGACTCGAATCATAACTCGATGTGAATCCTAGTGGCTCTGGTTACTAACTCAAAATAGTCGCTATTAGCACTGGGCCACTGGCGGCTAAACATGTACAATCAATTAGTCAATGTCAATGGCACATTGTCCTTGACAACGTTACTAAATTGTATATATTTGTGGCCTATAGATCTATACGTGGCTTATAGATGCCTTGTACAATTGAGCATAGAAGCCTTTACGCATCTATAGAGCCCTATAATTGTCCTTGACGACGTGAATTACAAAATGGGCAGTTATGACAGTTTGAAAACGAGTATAATATAGGCTATTGTATTGACAGTTCTTAACGCTTTAAAGTAAATTAGAAAATGATGTAATTATATTCGCTTGCGATAGTAAATATATTAGTCGTTTTGTTCTGTTTATAGTTTTAAGTAGTCACATAATTGAGCGCATCGGAGGCGCTGTATGCACCGCACCGCACTCTGCAGGCTCTTATTACAGTCTATGCATGTATATATGTTAAGTTCCGTGCTCAGTATATATAGCCACACTGTACGTGTCAAACATTTTTATATATTATATTTTCGAGGAGTTTGAAACATATTTTGTACCGTATATTGAAATTTGCATTTTGTAATTGGGAGTTAAATTCGTTTTAAAACTCTGCAAAGATTACGCGCATGATCTTCCTAGTGTTTTACTTTAGACTGAGATGCCTGCTGTTTTCTGTTTGTCATTGTAGTTTCCGGTCGAATCTGAAGCAGTAAAAGGTAATAATGCAATGAATTGCTACATTCAGTTATATAAAGTGCGCACAAGATTAAAACAACAACCCTGCTCGCTTATGCATGTATTTATCATTGACATAGCATGGCTGCGTTACACCCCGCTAGTGCATGTTATATCTGTTATAATTTATAGTTTCCTGCCCGGAAATGCCTAAAATGTCAAAGCGAATATACCGTATTTACTCGTTTAAGCGCCGCGGCGCTCTTTAAATTTTCAGAGCTTCAGGTGCGGCGCTCATTCGGGGGCGGCGTTCAATCGGGGGCGGCGCTCTTTAAAAAATATTTTATTTGTGAATTATGACAAGAACTTTTAACTATAAAATAGACAAGTTTTAAAAGGTTTTTGTTACTAAATGTTCCCATTTTGACGGCTGAAAATTTTTACACTGTTTAGTGCGGCGCTCATTCGGGGGCGGCGCTCTTTAAAAAATTTGATCTCAAATGCGGCGCTCATTCGGGGGCGGCGCTCAATCGGGGGCGGCGCTCAATCGAGTAAATACGGTAAGCATGTATACATATGAAACGTATAAATGCACAATTTTTGACGTTGTCCAAGATTGTTTAGTAATGCGTTGACGCGTGTGCTACTGCAGTTTACTATATACGAAGCGTGTTTTTGAAAGAACGAGGCAACACTATATATGTACAATTAGCCATAACGCTTTTGTCGTTGGTCTGGAAGGTTTTATTGATATATACGTGGTTTTGAAAGAACGAGGCAACACTATATTTACACAAGTAGGTTAAAAATTAACACCCCCCATTCAACCATTTTCACCATCTTACACCATCTTCACCACATGACAACAGCTGTTCAGCTGAACCATCCTACACCATCCGACACCACACTACAAGCGTCTGACAAACAAAGCATCTGACACCATCTTACACCATCTTCACCACCTGACAACCGATGGCTATATTGGACATATATGAAATGTATTCGACGCGACCAAAATTCGACGTATAAAACAGGCCTAACATACATATTGAAAATCTTTAGTTATATCAATAAATCGTTTAAACGAAATTACAAGCAACATCTCACGAACGCCATATTGTTTCAGCGCGGGCTGCCCATGCGTGACACGTGAGCGTGAGAAACTATAATATCCCACGGTATATATCTACCACGGGATATTAATTTCATAATATCGCATTATAATATCTCATGCTCCATTTCGAAATAATATGCATGAATTTGGGTGAAATACCGTAAAAAATCACATTGTCACGTGATACATATGCCTGTTTTTTATTGAATAACAATATGTACAACGAGCTTATTGTATATACACTCATGCAGAGAGAATTAAAATATTTAAATCCTGCTTGATCACATGATGTAAGACGACGAATCGCAATCGAATTCTAAGCAGCAAGTGGATTGATGAAGATCGACAGGCGGCTATCCATGCAGCTCCAAACAAGTTCCGGCATTTCAATCCAAAATTATTTCTCACAATCTCTGAAACGCAAACAATGGCGTGTCTAAAGAAGATTACACTTTTTTGTGTTTTATTTCCCGTTCTTTACGCCGTGTTTTCTCAAGTAACAGCGAATGCCGAGTGTTTTTCTGACTCGCAGTGTTTTGGCTATTGCTGCGACAGAAAATATCCTGACGACAATGTATGTCGATTCAGTTGCATTGGCGAGTCTTGTATCATTAACAGCGACTGTGCTCCTGGAGAATGCTGTAATTCTGATGATAAATGTGCCACCGATTGTGATGTCGTGATTGAGGATCTTGCTGGTTGGATTGTTGCAGTAATTGTTATCGGTGTTATTGTCGTTATCGTCATACCCATTGGAGTTGTCGTGTTTTGCTGTTGCTGTGCTGCGTCAGTCTCAACACGTTCTGCTCATGGAGGTGTTATAGTATCACAACCTGCGACCACAGGAACAACAGTCTTTTCAACCCAGCAACAACAACAACAACAATATCCTGCACAACAAGGACAACCAATGGCGTACTTCCAAAACCCTCAACCATATCCAAATCAATCCCCTCCATATCAACCTCAAGGCATGGTGTATCCAACTGGGCAAACTGAAGCCCGGTAATAAGAATTGAAACTGATTCGGCAAACAGACATACACTGGCGTCAATGAAATAGAATTACCTAAATACAAACTAACAGATATAGACATAAACATAGACATGTAGAACATCTTAGACTTTTCTTATATTCTACGTACTGTATTGAATAGGCCTACTTTTACTAACTATAATTTTTTAAAAAATGTTTCATTAATAAAATGTTTCATTGCAATGTTTCATGCAAGGGGCCGGGGTCCATTACACACGGTGTCGGGCATCCACACGCCGTCGTATTTTTTTCTCCTTCAACGTTAACCGGGAGTATTTTCATATACAGTAAAATATTATCGGCCAAGGACGTTAATTGTTACAAACTGAGCTGAGAAACGAGAGGGGAAGAGGGGAAAGGCATTTAGCAGGTATATATTCAGGGAAGTTGAAGGGTTTTGTATAGATCTTATGAATCTGCAGTTGGGGTGTGAAATACAAAATAACTTAATCTGAATACACATGTATAGTAGAAAAAATAGGGGTTTTCCTCCCAGGCAATTTTTATATATTTGCTGCTTGATGCTCGTATTTCTGCATATTTCTGGTATTTTCTGGAGAATTCGCTAAATTACGCAGTGAAGAATATAACCAGGGTAATCACTTGTGTGTGGAAATTTACCTCGCTAAATTAATTGGTAATGTTAAACGAGAAATTTTCAACAATGATTCACAAAGGCTTGGGTTTACACTATCGAAGCTTCAATCTGTGATCACAGTAGGAATTTTGGGGCCGATTTGCAAGAAATATCGTGAGAGTCTTTTCTGCTGGATCGCGTGCAGTATTCATGTTTGACTCGAATTATTGATGTGCATGTGACTCCCAGACATGCTGTCTGTACATAGAAATTGGATTTTTTACTGCCTTTCCTCTGAACAAAGAAAATTAAAATTAAAATCAAAATATTAAAAATATTTAAGTATAAGTCTTTTATTATAAAAACACTTATTGAAACTTTTGATTTAATTACACCCCTTTGAATGAGACAACATGTCGCCTACCTTTTAAAATATTTTACTCGCTTGTAATGTCATAGATTTATTTCATTCACATCTATCAAATGAAACTAAAATATCTCTAGAATGAGAAGAAATAAATGATTGGGAGCTTGATAAATTGCACGGTAACTTATTTTAAAGTTTTACATGTTCCTTCTGCTCAAAAATCAAAATGCAGACTTTAGTCGTTGCCATTACAGTAAACTCTGCTGTTTCTATGGCCATTCCCCTGCATGGGCAAATAATAGAAGACAGAACGTCGTATAGACATTCAGACAATTACTCCGAAGCTAAAAATATTTTTAAAATACCGACATTCGAAATATTTCTATATTTGCTGCAATTTGGAGATAAAAAGATAATCGCTCTTACGGATTTGCTTTTTTTTTTCAATAATTGTATTTTCCTTTTCAATTAAAGCTATTTCATTTTCTTGATACCATTGTAATAAACCACAACAATATCATATCCTTGACCTTGTCGGTCAATTTGCATGCATGGTTATATAATAGCTTGTTTTGCCGGGACACTTTCGACACAAGCTCGGTCTTCATTAGTACTCTAATAATTACGTGCAAAGGTGAAGATCAATACAGGCTTACGAATCGAAAGCTATAATAATATAAAATAAGCGTGATCACATCCCTATTCTGTGAACATGATTTTTCCACAAATACCAAACAATTATAATTCCAGCGTGCAATCAAGCAAGCAACAATATAATTAACATGCACCTACATAATTATGTACACAAATTTATTGCGACAGAAATTGGCTCCAGTCGCTTACATGAAATTGACCTCGAATGACCAAGAAATTGAAGTATTACAATCTACTGACTAATATTTAATTGAGTGTGTTTGTGCCACAGTGGCAAGGTCCTGGTTATTTGCGCCCGTTTATGTACCTCAGACGTATGTGAGAGTTCTTTCAGAATTCTTGACTCAAGTAAACACACTCGATCCACTCCAAGAAGACCTAGGCCTAACAGGTGGGAAAACTGTCGTCGCTGATTGAAAATTGTAGTGAAAACAACAAAAACAACGATTTCGCTAGCCTGTCTCTCATAGGGTGAACGTTAATAAATGTTAATGAAGACCACAACTACCTTTCGAAGTCGGGAAATTAGCAGTCAAGAATTATTTGCTGAAACATGGCCGAAAATGAAGTTTTTTGCAATGTGTGTTTTTCATAGTAAGTAATCTCGAGAAGGAACGTAATATTGATGGTATATGCGTTTGTTGTCTAGAGCAAAGTATAAATATAGTGCACGTGATTCTACCGACTGAGCTACAAGCTCAGTTGGTAAAGCTTTGGACTAGTATCACAAACATCATATTCACCTGAGCAGGGGCGGATCCAGCCAATAATCTGACCGTAGCATTTGGAAAGAACTCGCATTGCTAGGGGGGTCCGGGGGCATGCCCCCCCGGAAAATTTTTGAAATTTGAAGCCCGGAAACGCCATTTCCTGCATTCTGAGCGGCGTATTTCCTCCTCAAATTTCGGTCCTCAACAAATAAACATTTTAGACAAAAGTAACGAAAAACAAAGTTTCGTTTTATTCCAATTGCAATACACTGCAGCTTTGCTCATATGGACGGTGAAGCATTTGCTTTTGGAGTTTTAGTGGTTGTGATATTAAACATCAACAGTTTGAGTTGGATAGTAAGATTGACTTGTAAGCCAATTACCGTCGCTAAAGGAAACATCAAGAGTTCGTAATTATGCGAATTGTGCATTGCTTCTTCAGTAGGCTAACTGCTGCTGTATGATCATATTTTCGAAAACTGACATGGCAGTATCAGACAAGCACTTTGCAAAGGCAATTTTAAGCCAAGTGAACGCTCCATTCTCATCCTGCGAATTAACTACGGGATGACCGGCATAGTATGGAGCATGTTCATGCAACTCAGTACAGGGTGTATCATAAAAAAGTAGACAATTTTGAAACGGCTCTCAATTTCATAAATCCGATGTCATTAAATATTTGATAAATATAGATTGTTTGGGTACTTATAATGTAGAATAATCAAGAAATTTTCCAGATTAATTTTCCAAAGCAGGGGACGTCTTTTTAGCAGCATTAAAAATAGCTTGCTTGTGAAATTTTAAAGGTTAAAATGCATTTTGAGTTCATGGACGAGAAATTTGTTACGTGTTTTATTAAATGGTCCAAATATCAGAAAATTTGTTCAATTTTAAGTCCTTCAAATAGGCTCTGAAACTTTCATTTTTTGGCACCAATGCCTTTCACGCATGCTTAATTAATTCATGCATTTACCTAATTCGCATATTGTTACTTGAATTAATTCACTTTTCTTTACAACACAGTTAAAAAATCTATGTTAACCCATTACAGTATTGTGCAACATCTTTCCAATGATGACTAAAGTTACCCAAGAACTAGACAAAGTAATGTAGCACAGAATATGGTATTTTGGTGTGTATTGTGAGGTACTACAGTAATTGAGTGAACTATCGTTTATATTTGCTTGCATGGCCAATCTTCACATGGTTCATTTGAGTAACAGCTATATAAGACAATGGGGGAGATGCAGGCTTTTAGCCAGGATCCTAAAAGAGGGCGTCCCATTTGGTATGATACATCTTCAGTAAGGGGGGGGGGGGGTTTGAGAAAACGTTCCTCTGGAAACCTTTGAAGTTTATGTTACTTCATGTCGGTATCTGTTCCAAGCTCGTTCGAAATTTTTCAAACACACTTGGCTTTGGTGAGTACTGAATTTGTGCTGCTATGCTTCTTTACTTAACAATGACATTTTCATTCAGCCAGGTACTCCATCAAATTGATCAAAATGTCAAATGTATAATAATAATGAGAATTGAAGCTATTTTGTTTCAGATATATTAATATACTTAGGGAAATCATTGCAAATAATTTCCCTTTTCCCCCAGAATTTGGGTGTCCAAAGGCGTCCATTTTTTGTTCTATGGGCGTCCCAGGACGCCTGGACACCCTAGGCAAAAGCCTGGGTTGATGTGGTGACTACCCATATTACCACCCAGTTGACAGAAATCTTAATTCTTTAACCTATTGAGAGCCAGCACTCTCCCCTTGACAAGTAAAATCATCTGGTGCTAGACAGAGTAAAATAATAAAGTATGGCACTTTAGGCCTCATTAATTTAATTTAATTTAATTTAATTTATTAACTTTACCAGATTCAAACAATTAACGTTAACACAAAAACTGGTAGGGCAATCGAACAGCTTGCGCCAATTACTGCGATCCCTAAATGTTAGACAAATACACTATATACGTACATAGAAAAAATCAATTACTAACAAACTATCAGATTCAACTTTTCACATTGCGGCCCGCAGGACCACTTCTAATTAGAGCACACTGCAACTCAATGAGTTAAACTTATATGTATATATATATAGCTTACGGTACTAATTTATAGCTTTCAATCTGATGTAAAAATAGAAAAAATTTTTTTTTACAGCTTTGTTACACATATAGTTATTCAATCACCATTTAAAGACTTTCAGGAATTATTTGGGGGAGGGGCTAATTGGCCCCCTTGTATGCAGTGATAATAAGAATATTTATATCAGTAATCTGTAATCTCAGATGATATTTCCCCCATTTCCATGACTGTTTAAGTCCTCATAACTGTAAAAGTGTGGTTGCAACTTGCTTTCAAGTGTTTAAAGGCTCAATGTTATATTGCTCCATAATAGGGCTTTTTGCTTGACAACCTGCCTAAAGCCTGATTCACAGTTAGTGATTTTGTTGACGATTTTCTCATCCTGACATATTCGAATGAGTGGGCTTGCATACAATTGGTTTTCACAAGTATACGTTTCCATGTCTTTTGCATGTTACTCACCCAGTGGTCTCCCCCTCAGCAGGAGAAATATTTGCCGAAAAAGATTTGCTGGCTGAGAACCTGAATTAAGATCATCTCAAAACACGTCTCAATGTGAAGATGGCTCACCTCCATATAAACACATCCTAATTTTATCCAGTAATTTTTGACACAATAATTTATAGGATACTGCATATTATTAATATCACCAAAATATTACTGCATATTATTAATTAATATCACCAAAATATTTACAAATAAAGTAACATTGAATTTGTAAATATTGCATTGCCGGTAATGGTATAGGCGCCATATAACTAATGCATACATGTCAACCAAACGGTATTGTCG